TAGAGGTTTTCGGCAAAGCCATGGTTTCTCAATGGATTCTCCAGCTGTCCAGACTGTTCTTCCTTTTTTCATTTTATTTTCAAGAATGGGCGGATAATACAAAATACTTTTCAGTATACAGTGATTTCTAACATGTAATCCTTATCACTTTGGGGGTCTCTCTTCCCCTGGATGCACGTGGAGAAACACCCATTAACACTAATGGGAGTTACAGGAGCAGGCAAGGGGAAGGGAGACCCCCACCGTGTGCAAGATGCATCTCTCCCTAGATGTGCATCATGAGCATTTCATTAAACCTCACTGCTGCAAAGAAGCAATGGAGCCAGTGATTTGGCAAAACGGGAAAAGATGCATTTTCAGTTGTGCTTTCTGTAATCCTGATGATGATGTTATCCCCAAACTACCTCACTTCTGGGTCCCATTTGTGAGCACTGTTAAAGAATGGCCTGTTTATGTCAAGCAGCTATATGTACACACGATTTACTATTCTAGTTATGAAGAAGAAATATCACAAGTAAAGGAAAGCCTGGAAGTGTGTGTTTATTAGCTGTATTTCCTCAGGAAAGTAAAGCCCAAACTCTTGATAAGAAATCTGGACTGAAAAAAATTAGGAAATATCAGCTGAGCATGATGGTACATGCCTTTAATCCCAGCACTAGGGAGGCAGAGGCAGGTGGATCTCTGTAGAGACAGAGGCCAGCTTGGTCTACATAGCAGTTCCAGGCTAGCTGGGGCTACAGAGAGACCCTATCTCAAAAGACTGAAATTAAGGGAGGAAGGAAGGAAGGAAGGAAGGAAAGAAAGAAAGAAAAGAAAGAAAGAAAGAAAAGAAAGAAAGAAAGAAAGAAAGAAAGGGAGGGAGGGAGAAAGGGAGGGAGAAAGGGAAGGAAATGTTAACCAGCCTTTGAGAGATTTAAACAATGTACTTGACTCCTATTTTTAAAAACTTACTAAAGTAGGTATGGGCAAAGCTAAAAGAATTGTTACCAAAGTATAAATTAAACCTATAAACACGGGATGCTTTTACAAAGACAAGATTTTACAAACATGATGACAACGAATGCATCATGATAAGGACACTAGAGTCCCTCTCCTAGGGACCACAAATGAGATGTATTTTAGAAAGGGAAGCACATTTTACAGTGTTTAAAAAAAAAAAATCAAACAGGATCATATATCTCTATGTAGTGTATGATGTGTGTAAGATACATAAACATAAAGGAACTTTTTTATGCTTTGAAGAATTATTATTTTTTAAATTTTAAAAAAATTTAATAACCACATGATTAGAAGAAGCATTTCATTACAGCTTTAACATATTCAGTAACACACTCCAGAGCAAGGATACATCTCTTTCAAAAGTGGCTGTAAATTTTTAGGTTCACAGTTGAATTAATACAGTTATACAATATTGAACTCAGTATAAACCCTGTAAGATATAAAATTGAATGAGTTTTTACCTTTAAAGATCTCCATTTCATTTTAACTTTTAAGAAACACAAGATGAGTTTTAGTTTGCTTGTATATTTTACATTAGAACACTAATTTATGTTTTCTTTTAGTAAAATCAGTCTATGTGAAAAACACAGCACTTTCTGGAGGTTAGAAGTTCATGTGATGCTCAGCAAGATAGCAACACCCTTGTCAACTCAGTGCCCTGTGTGGCAAACACAGCTCAAGGATAAGCAAAGGTCACTTGCTATGCAAAAGCATTACAACTGTTGCTTGAAAAGAATTTCATGACACTAGAGATAAGAATTACTGCAGTGCTTTATAGCTATGGCATGAAAAGCGTGCTCTACTTACTGCATTCCTTTGAGAAAAACTTTTTTCCCCTACCCTCAAAGGCAAAAATTTGAGACATGGACACTTGTTTTAAAAACTACAACTGCTTTAAGTCAAAATATTTGTATCTGTAGAAAGTATATCTATGTTTATCTACCTTTTATGCCCACAAAGAAATTTTGAAAAGAAAACTACATCAATTTGGCAGAAGCTTTGTGATACAGAACCTAAAACATACATACTTAATTTACTATCAAACATAGTCCAGAGGCTTCACTACACTGCCGTGTTTTATAGCTGTATTTTACAGGGTGGGAGAGGTAACATCTAATGACTTTGTCCTAGCTTCCTTTCTGAAAAAAGCAAACCAAAACCTTCTGCGGCAACCTGTTCCTGCCTTCCTGTCCAGGTCCAGAATCAGGCCTGTTTCCTTTCCACATGTCACAGTAGGAAGGCCTCTGGAAAGCTACTTCCTGAACACACACTGCTTGTCCACCCTGCCTCTGACAGCTCAAAAGAGTGATGTATGGACATATCAGAGAAGGGAAGGTGACCCTTGCTACAGCTCTTTACAGGACCTGGCGTGATAGGGCCCCAGCTGACATGTGGCTATGAGGAGGTGTAAAGTCCTGATAAGAAGGCAGACCTTCTCTTCCTCCCATGTAATATAATTGCTGGTTTATCGAAACTAACCTCATGTTTGTACTACAGATATGGTTTATCTCATGCCATTTGGAAATAACAACAAGCAAGAAAAGTTGTCCATATCATGTGATTTTGTGCATAGTGTTGCAGTTATTTTTCCAGTCTCAGTCATAATTAGTACTTGGGGCCATGTGGTAGGTGGAAATGGATAAGATGGAACATCCTTCCCAGTCTACTAGGCAACCAGTGTCCTTTTCCAATTTTAAGCTGCTGTCACTGGACTCTGGCATTTCTTACCCAATTCATTTGCTTTCCGTGTTAATCATATGCAATGAAGATATGCATGGCCAACATTTAAACAGGCTGCAGATCAATTAGCGGTCTTAAGTTTATCTGATTTTTATCAAAGAAGACAGAGCTGTGGGTCGATTGTCAGAGCCTGTGTCAAGTTGACCTTTTCAGAGATGTCTACATTGCCAGTCCCCTGGGCAACTTGTTGTCCCCTGTTAGTCTCTGAATGGCAGAAGTCTGTTCTGCTCAGGCACAAAGTATACACAGATGTCTATATTACATTCTTATAGGTTTGACAGCAACTGCATGTTGTATCTATAAACTGTCCTTTAGCAGTGACACTTCCTCAATGATGATAAGCTAATTTATGCAACTAAATCTCCTTTGTGCAGAAATGAAAGCTAATTGAGTCATTACAAAGTAATTCAGGAAGGAATACCTTGTATAAATTGGCTTACTTTATAAATCCTTCTCAAGTGGTTTTCATGCATCCTAAATGGGACTAAGCAGCTTATCAGCCATAAGACATCCAGACCAAACACACCAACTTCTGTGAGCTGTGTAAATGTCTTTAGGCAGTAGGCAAGTGGCTAGAACAAGCCACGGTAAGATTTTCCAGGATTACCTGAGGTGTGCTGCACATTGTCCTGACTCCTCTTCCCTTGCTCCTCCATCTTCACTGAAACAGTATCGTCTTCCTCCTCTGCAAATAAATAGTATCAGTGGCACACTAAAAGGCTCCTTGGATATACAACATATACCCCATTTGAGGAGCAAAACTGAAAGCTTATAGCACTTAAATATTATCTTTAAAAGAATGAAACTATTCAAGATCCAAATTCTTTTGTCAATAACCTAACACTGAACAAATACATCACTAGCCATTTCCAAAAAGCAACCTTAGTAAGGTGTATTAAGTTGGCCTGATAAAATTTAAGATATATACTAAAGTGTTGCAAATTTTGTTTAAAATACTTATAGAAACTTGTCTTGAGCAGTCTTAAATCCAGAAGAGTCCTTAAATCTAGTAAAGTAACACTAGAATTTATATGAATGTTACATTACACTGTGCAGCAATAAACAATAAATCATGGTTCTTAAAACATCAAGACAGCATAGAGAAAAATATGTGATATAAAGTACAGATAACCTGTAAGTCACCAATTGTCAGACACTTTCACTGGTTCTCTCACTCTTCTCACAGGAGGATACTAGACAGATCCTCACTCTTCAAAATAATTCCCCGAAGTTATATTGTGGCTCTACTAAGTGTCACATATGATGGAAGGTAAGATTTTGTAGATAAAGGATTATAAATCAACATTCTACAGACAAGTAAACTAAAAGGCAAAAGGTGACAAACTTCCAAAGTATGTGACTCAATCTTGAGTTTATGATTATAAAATCCATGTTCTTTACCCTCCCTAGTCAGTGCTTTGCCTACAGCTTTTCCACATTCTTTAGGCACATTCCCTCCCCAAGACATAGTAGGAAATAGGATAAAATTAAGGAAGAAAATGTTTAACCATGACCAAACTATATAATTTTTTTATACTTAAAACATAATGTAACATATTATTACTTCTGCTACCTAAGAATCTACACAAAACTGAAAGATATTTAAGGCAGGACACTCAAACAAATGACATATCAAAGAAAAATTGAATTTAAAAAGAATTCTAACTTTAAGAAAAATCCAAAATCTAAGTGCAGGACATATATAGATAGCCAATGTGACTATAAAATCAATCAACCAGTCAATCGTCATTGAGTATTACCTACTTATAAGAGGTTTTGCCAAGGAAGCAAAGGTAATAAGCAAGCTTCTGACCTAGAACGTAGACAGCTGGGGGAGCAGAGAGTAGATCTAAGGAAAAGGAGCTAAAGAGATGAGGACAAAGCACTGCAGCAGCAGAGGGGGAACCTTCCAACCAGGAAGACCTAGAGAATTTAAGGACAGGTGGGAAGAACACTCTTCAAATCCAGCAAAAGCCTTGAACTTCAAAAGAACAAGGCACAGTCACATTCACTGGGATGAAGTAACAGGGTATTCTAGGAGAAAGCAGGATAGGAAAGATTTCCAGCAATGTAGATCAACTGAGGTCTATGGACATCTTGGTAAGGCCTGCAGCATCTGATCTGGTGGACAGAAAGAGCTTCAGGCTTCTGAGCAGGGCCGAAACTGTACTGCAGGAATGGTCATTTGATTCCATTGTCTCAGACAGCCTAGATGAGCAGCATGGAGTGTCCAGATAAAGAGGAAGGAAGTCCTGAACTGAAGGGGCAGAGGAAACGGGAAGGAGATGTTGTGGGAGGTAGAGGAACCAGAATTGATAAGCTTTGGCCTGCCTGCCTGGGTGTTTTGAGGCTTAGGTTTTGAGATGAAATGGTGAACAAATGAGCAAATCATCTCTAGAAGAGGCTAGCCAAGATCATCTGTGTTGCTGAGGAACACAGAGTTGTTTTTCCGACATGCTGGGTTTAATGCTCATGAGGGCGGCCAGAGAAAAGGGCAACTGTAAAGTGTGGTATAAAAGTCTCCATACATTTTAAGTGGTAATTAATCACATCAGTATCTGAAGAAGCAACCTTCAGAGTTACTGTGTTTATAGGTCAAATATAAATGGCTTGAGTTTATATAGTTCAATTGAGACAAAATAGTAAAAGCTCCAAAATAAGGAACAGCTGGATCTATTTGTCTTCATACACAGTGTTGAGGTTAACCTTGGTCATTTAATATAGAACACTTAACAACAATTCCCTCACTTTGGCCAAATCTCAAAGACTGCTTATCACAAGTGGGTTGTTTATAGGGTGTTCTCATATAAACTTTAAAGGGAAAAGGGATGTTTACAGTCAGTTAATCCCATCTACTATAGACTGTCCCTGTAGCCCCAGCTGTCCTGGACCTCACTATGTAGACCAGGCTGGCCTTGAACTCAGAGATCCGCCTGCCTCTGCCTCCCAAGTGTTGGGATTAAAGGTGTACGCCACTACGCCCGGCTGTTCATTAATTTTTAAAGGTGAAGGAAAGGGCTGGCCTTACCTTTTGCTTTCTCCTCCCCTAGTACCTGTCCTCTCTTCAGTCTGATCATAAATCCCATATTAAGAAGTAAATAAAAATCATTAAGGGCACTTGGTCTTAGTCAAAAGCCATAACCACATCCATGTAGTAAGCACTATTCTGGCTTTTAAGAAGAGACTAGGTAATTTAGACTCATCACCCAAAGTCAGTGGAAACATATCATAAAAATTAATTGTAATAATTAAATAGAAAAACTCTTTTCTTTGGCAGGTTAACAATGAATTTAGAAGAATTTCCTGTAGCCCCAGCTGTCCTGGAACTCACTATGTAGACCAGGCTGGCCTCGAACTCACAAAGATCCGCCTGCCTCTGCCTCCTAAGTGCTGGGATTAAAGGCGTGCGCCACCACACCCAGCCAAATGTATTTTTTTCATTTATTAAAATTTAAGGGTCTATAATGTATGCTAGGAATTGTACTGGTATATGAAAGCTTCACCTTTATTAAATATACCATTAAGTTATCAGAATAATGACATTGAAATATCTACATCAACATTTACAAAGTATCCTAACTGAAGTCTCTTCGAGGTACTTCTTAAACAATATGGGGCTTTGGGGACACTTTTTCCATTTCAAACCTGTACTGACATTTTAGCTGAAAGTCTTATGTAATTTATACATCAAATTTTCTAAATAATATTCAACAATTCATTTTATCTTGTTAGGACAATACCAACAACTTCTATGTATGTTTTTAAATCTTAGGGGGCAAATATTCATAATGAATCTTGAATAGAATCTGACACAAAGGAAGATGCTGACTAAATACTATGAACAAATGGATCCAAATCACAGATGTCTTAACAGTCATTTATTATCAGAGCAACTCTCTTCATGCCACTAAAAAAGTGTAAGAATAACCAAAATTCTAAGCAACAATTACCTTCACATTATATTAGAAATATATAGACACACAACTTATTTTATTTAGGTTTATAATTTAAAATATTTTATTTTGTGTTGAGGCACAATGTCATTATATATACTAATTAATACCTCAAATAGTGTTTGTGGGTTAATATATTCCACTCAACATTTTAATAACAGTAAACAAAAACAGCTCAGCTATGCAGTGAAGTCCATCAAGCCACACAGATGGTTACCAGGTTTTTATTGTGTGGTTTCCATAGCAATCACAGTGCAAATCTGGAAGCTTCTTGCAAATAAGCAGCTTGTATTTACATGCCTCTCAGCTGCAGCGCAAAACTCTTCAACATGTGAAGTTATTATTCCAATCACACGGTGTTAGAAGACTCATTAGATGCTTTTGTGATCAGACAGAATAAAAACAGTAAAGCAAACCAAGTGCAAAAGATAATTCAAATATAGTCAATATTTACTCATCAATGTATATTAGAAATGTTCTTGTAGTCAAAAAAAGGATTCAATATTCAACCCTGTCAGAATTATGAAACTTCCAGGAGCCATCTTATCTCCAGAATCCCAATACATAAACTGTAGCCCCCTTTCTTTTTAATGGCTATTTGGTTTTCTTTCTGGATTGGATAAGGGCAGGAAGAAGGGCAGATAATTGGGTTTTCCTAAATTCTTTCAGGAAAATCCATGTGAGGAAATGGTTACTGTTGAAAAGTTGAGACCTCTCCCCTCTTTTACATTAATAATTTAATTTGCAAATTGATCCAGTTTCATAATTGGCAGATTAATATCCTAATAAGGACCACAAGTCTAGTTATGCAGTTTTTACAATATTGCTGTTTCTGGCTAATGTTCCTAATTTTTGACAAATAACCAAAAAGAAAAATGATAAGTAAACATATTTACAGACACTGCTTGAGAAAGACTAAGATTTGTTGGCATCCAGGCATGCACAGTATGTATGTTCAAAAGCTGAGAATTTACTTTACCATCTGGCCCAAGAAGGAAACATAAGAAAATTCCTTACTCACAGAATGATTACCTTTTTCATGGAATGCCTTCACAAAACAGCTTTGCTGAATTATAATGTATTTTAAGTTCAAGCAGTAGAGCATGAAACTCTTACAATGTATTTTAAGGCATAAAACAGCATAAAGCTCTGAAATGGAAGTTCAAGGTTAGATCACTACCTGCCCAGGCTCCACTTGATTATGGAATTACTTATTTTTCTCAAGAACAGTTAATATGTATTGTTTGAATGTTCATACTCTCAGCACTTACAGCAAAACATAAACATAAAAAAATGTAATTCTATGAGGTAATAATAGACATTTGTATTTGCATCATTTTATTAGCACAAAAGATGAAATTTATGGAGCTTGAATAACTTGTCCAAGTTCATACATCCAGTTAGAATATACAAGATCTAGAATATATGTGAGCTAGGATTAAACTATAGGTATGTGCTACTAAGCCTTAGACCTAAGCTATAAGGTCTTTTGGATTTTTTGTTTTGCTTTGTTTTGAGACGGTCTCATTAAGTAGCCTGGCTGGCCTGTAACTCAACAGATTGGCCTTGAACTCATATGCACTACCACACCTAATCAGCCTCTTTTTTTTAAAAAAAAAAAAAAAGGTTGCACTATGTCACTCTGGCTGTCCTGGAATTCACTATGTAGACCAGGCTGCCCACAAAGTCACAGAAATCCATCTACCTCCACCTCCTGAGTGCTGGGACTAAA